CTTGCTCCAAGAACAACTTCCTTAATGAATTGAGTTCTCCAACGACATCACTGATCCGCTTTCTTTCTTTTGGAGATTCAACGGAGCAGGAAACTCCGATTTGAATCACCTTAACTAAGAATGACAGAAATATGTCACCAGCACTGCTTGTATTGTCATCAACTTTGTATTTCATTCCAAGTTCATCTCTTTCCTGGAGAAGAATGGGATCTGCAATATGCATCACTCTGTCTGGCAAAGCAGCATTGGCATAGTTATGAAGGTTTAAATTGTCTTTGAACATTTCATCAGTTGGTTTCCTCCCGGTAAACATTTCCAAGAGCAGAATGCCAAAGCTGTATACATCTCCATAGATTGAGGCGTCGCTTCCCATACCTAATTCTGTCAACAAGAAATACTACAGAATTAGAGATATTCTTATCAAAAGACATACATATGACAGCCAGCAGAAACCTTGATTTATTATTACCTGGAGGTGTATAACCAATAGTTCCCCCTACACCTGTAGAGCTTTTTGAATTTGCTGATGAGTTTGGAATTGCTGGTGGAACAAATCTTGCCAAACCAAAATCACCAACATGTGCAGTCATGTTCTCATCGAGAAGAATATTGCTTGGCTTCAGATCACGGTGAATTATTGGGGGTTGGCAATCATTATGGAGATAATCCAGAGCACAGGCAACATCAATGGCAATGTTTAATCTTTGAATAAACCGGAGCTTCTTGTGCTCTTCCTGTGACTCAGATTTCTCCTGAGTAGTGAAATGTAACCAGTCCTGTAGACTTCCCTTATCCATGTATTCATAAACTATGGCCTTGAACTCATTACCTTCATAATCAATACCTGAGCATGCACTTAGAACCTTTACAAGATTACGATGTCTAATGTTCTTTAGAACCTCACATTCAGCTAAAAAACTCCTGGAAGCTGCATGGTGTGAAAGGTCCAGTACCTTAACAGCAAAAAACGTACCATCGTGTTCAGAAATTCCTTTATATACAGACCCAAAAGCACCCACTCCAAGCAAATTTGATGCAGAAAATCTATCAGTTTCCCTAAGTAGACACCGATAAGATACTCTTAAGGTTGAGTTTTCAGGTATATCTGTAGGTGTTGGTTTTCTCGATCTACTAAACTGTCGTATGCCAAGAAAACAAACTATGAATGTCAATCCTATAAGCCCACTAACTACAGGAATTACTATTTTCAAGGGAAAACCTGATTTCCTTTCTTTCTTTACCTCTACAATGCAAGCCGGAAGGTCCAACTCTGGTACACCCCCACAGAGATTTCTATTTCCTATGATGGAAACCACAGTAGCATTACTAAAGATGCCTCCTGTTGGGACAGCACCTTCCAAAGTATTGCTAGACAGATTTAAAATCTGCAGAAATTTAAAGTCCTTCAGGAATCCCGGGATTCCACCTGACAGATTGTTGTGAGAAAAGGACTAAAAGTTCCAGGCCTCGCAAACTATTCATGGTTGAAGGAATACTACCCTGAAAGTTGTTGTTGTTCAAGTCTAGTGCTTCAAGTTTCACACAAGTACCTATACTGGTAGGAATCTGGCCCTGCAACTTGTTATCAGACAGGTTTAAGTAGCCTAGATTTCTCAACTTCCCAATTTCCATCGGAAGGAACCCAGTTAATTGGTTCTGAGATAGGTCCACGCCCTCCGACAAGGATGAGAGTTCAAGAATTTCTGATGGTATGAACCCACTAAGGTTATTTGAACCAAGATCCAACAGTTCCAAATTGTGGCATTTGCCTAAACTGGAAGGAACTCTCCCCTGGAGATTGTTTTCTCTTAAATTGAGTTTGGTTAAAGAAGCTAAATTTCCCAATGAGATTGGAATTTTGCCAGAGAACTGATTTCCAAGTAAAGCCAGCTCTTGCAAATATATCAGATCACCAATTTCAGACGGAATTTCACCGTGAAATCTGTTGTAAGCTACAAAGAAAGCCTGAAGCTTCTTGAGATTGGATATCCCTCTTGGGATTTCTCCAGAAATCTGATTATAAGACAGCGAAAGCTCTATAATCTCAGTCGAAAGATTACTAACAGATGCAGGTAAGACTCCACCAAAATTATTTGTATTGAGCTCCAAAAGCTCCAAGCTGGTGGCATTCACCAATGTGGTGAGAAAGCTAAGGTCATCATCCTCCCCCTTCCCAAGATAATTGAAAGCAACTAAAAATCTCCGCATTTTCAGCAAATTTCCAAGGGGTGGTACTTTTCCTGTGAGTCCATTTCTACTAGCAATAAGAGACTGAAGATTCGTAGCATTTGACAATGTTACCGGAATATTTCCAGTTACATTGTTTCTATAAATGCTAAGGAACTCTAAACTAGGAAGAGTAATACCAAGCAATGGAGGCAATTTTCCTTCTAAATGGTTTGTTCCAACATCTATGGCCACGATAGAGGAAAGATTGAAAAGACAAGGAGGCAGGGTACCACTCAAGTTGTTCTCATTCACTACAAAGTACTTTAAGTTGAGCAATTGACATAATTCATCAGGTATTTTCCCTAACAAATTATTCTTGCTTGCGGAAAAGGTATCAAGTAAAGAAAGATTACCAAATGAAGGCGGAATTCCTCCTGTAAAATAGTTAGAAACAAGAGAAAGTTGTTTGAGTTTCAACAATGTGCCTAATTCTGCTGGAATTTTGCCTACCATCATATTATACGAAAGACCAACAGAAACGAGATTGAAGCAACCAGAAATGTTTGAAGGAATATGACCAGTGAATGAGTTATTATCAAGGCGTAAAACGTGTAACTTATGTAAGTAGCCAATCTCTGATGGGATTTCACCTGAAAAACTATTATTTTGGAGCTTAAGGATATAAAGAAAGCTCAGATTACCAATGCTTGGTGACAGAGAACCCCTCAATTTCAGAGAAGTAAGATTTAAAACTGTAACTCGGCGATGACGGTGACCACATGAGACCCCAGGCCAGTCACAGAAATGTATAGCTTCATTCCAGGAGTCCATGATCTTGAAAGGGTCATCAATGATCATATTCTTGAATGCTAGCAGTGACATTCTGTCTGTTTCATTCCCTCCCAACTGATTTTTTGATGAACAGAGAACAAAGGGTAGTAGCAAAGAGAAAAAGGTCAGTAAAGATAGTACAACAGTATACTTCTTCATAGCATAAAAGTGAGAATTCTGTGTACGAGTTGGGAGAATCATTTAAGAAAGTAAGAAGACAAAAGTAAAATTGGTAGCAAAAGACACTGGTCTAAAACTATTAAATTTGTTCTCCAATTTTAATTGCTTATATGATTTTTCATGATATTGACAAGTTGGGTATTTTAAGGTAGACTAGAAAATATAGAAAGGGACATAAAGATTCACGTGTACAATAAAATTGGACATAAACTTAGACCAGTAGGCTGAGTTATGACTTGCTGGTAAATTATTGGATATTAAAGTTTTTTGTTTCTCTAACCTCTGCCAGACTGTCCTGATAAATTCCCTATTGCATACTATTTTGTTCCATTCTTTGACGCTAAAGTGAAAAATGTAAAGTATTTCGAGAAGTGAATTTTTTTTTTTCATTTTCTGAGTGACATTAGTTGTGTAAGTCTTCTTTTTGTCGATGTAGTAAAGTTGTTCTTATTTAGTTAGGTAAGATGGGTAACATTAGTCTAACGTTCGTAGCAACATGTAGAAAATCTTGTAGTATAATATACTGAGAGATGTCGGAGCAATTAGTCAATTATGAAGTCAATTCAGTGCGGTTTATTCTTCTACATGACTTTAAAGAGTTTGCATAATTTGTGGTCATTCAACTCCTCTAGTGCTTAAAATTGAATTGTCCTCTTCAGGTAAACTTCCTGGAAATTAGGTTTCCAGATTTATTTTTTATTTTTTTGCAAAAGGGTTAGGTTAAAAGTTTGGTAACAAAGACCCAATTAAGATAAATAAGGAAAAAGGACTGGGAATTCAATGGAGATGTCATGTGTCATTTCCATAAATAAGCGGACAAGAAATTTAATGTAACTACTATGAATAAATGCTTTTTTTCTCAAAAGGGATTCTATGAGTTTTGAAGTTTGGTCAAACTTTTTCTATTTAAATAAAATATCCCAAAGTTTGGCGAAATAAAAAGAGATTCGTCAATTAGCATATCAACTGTTTGAGCCCCAAAAAGAAGAGTCTTATTTTGAATAGCTCAAAGACGATATTATTTTTTTTGTTTCAGAGCAACAGTTAGTAACAAGGTATGTTTGAACTCTTTTACTAGTTGGAGAGCATATTTGATCCAAAAACCTAATAACGAGAGCATTTTTGCCAAAAAAGTAATGGAGAGTAAAAGTGACTCATTTTGAATAGTCCTAAAGGTATATTACGGTGCAATTAAATTGGAATATCATTGCAATTTAAAAATTCGCAAGTGAGAGTTTACTCTTATCACTCCATTCTTCTTGTGGTGTTTTGTCTTTGTAGGGCTAATTATTAGACAAGTACAATCAACGACCTGAGCAAATGATAAATCAAATGGTCGACAAGTCTTCAATGTGAACTCTTTGACCATTTTCCCTTCTAGAACAACTTCGGAATTTCAAGATGATTTAAATTAAATGTTCTCTTTTTTCTTATATATTTATTAAATAATATATGAGAAAAACCATCAACAATAAAGAGCATAAAATGATTGAATTTTCCTTAACACGAGTGGTTGTGTTGTTCTATTGGAACTACACTAGTTGATAATTCATCAAAGCACTACTTGATTTGCTAATGGTATAATTTATGTCTAATGTATTTGAGCTTTAGACATCGCGGTTGAAATCTACTATCTTTGTTCAGCATCCATGTCAAAAACAAGTTCACTGCATCTGGTAATTCCATTGCATCTCACTGCCTAATATGACCTGAAGGAACAACAGATCGACATTTCGACATATGAATTATCTGTTAGAAAAGTAAATTAAATGTTCTAAGAAAGCAAGATGTTTAGACATACTAATCTCATATATGTCACATTTCTCATGAACAAAAACGAGGCATTGGCATTAACAGGACTAATAATACAATGATTCAAAATACAGCTAGACAGTGCATCAATCTTTACATAGTCAGGTGAATCAAATCAGTCAGTTCTTCCAAGGAAACAATCATATTCAGGTGTCAGACCTCTAAAACTGGCACCGATCCAAAACATAGAAAGCATCATGCAGCATGAAAGCCAATCATCACCTCCCACGCACACTGGCAGGTGATCGAGCACCTTTATCACTGCTAATGTCTTCATCAATTTCACTTCCATCAACCCACACAACGTTGTTGCTTACACTCACCTCAGAACTAGCATTACTGCTAGTGGCTAGTGGGGAGTCAGGCATGTTAATTGACCTGCTTGTCCTGCCTCTAGTAGGCGGCCCTGATCTCACACTGTACATAGAGGATGCTGGAATATTAGTCATCAAGGGACGCAGATTACCCGAGACTCTCTGCCTTATATCCTGTCCAAGAACAATGTCTCAAAGTTAAGCAAATCCAAAAAGGATAAGAGAACAAGAAGGCCAACAAGACAGATCATCTAAAAAAAACAACACAAATATTGCTACTCTAATCAGTTTTTGAAAATATACTTATGTCTTCAGTCTATGGTAGAGCACAATATTCTATTAGCATAGGAATGTGAAAAGAATGTATATACCATATGTCTAATAGCCATATCCACCTGAAGAAGATGGTCCTCGAAGACTAGAACTTGAAGTGTTTGATCCAGGAGAGGAAGCTAGCTATCTAGATGCAAGTTGCTTCTTGAGGTGGCCTCTGGGAGAGAATTTGTTAACTGCATCAAAGGTAGCAAATTACAGATAAAAATCCATGGTTCCCAAGAAAAATCAATTTTCAGAACATGGTTTGAAAGAAATGCAAGAGTAAAATGCTATTATGAAAATATTGAAAAAAGAAAAATATTGACAGTAAAATTATTAGAGATAACAAAAGTAAAAGAAACAACACATTTGAAGCTGGCTCAACAGATGAAGACCTGACACTAGCTGCTCCAGGTCTGCCCCTTGTAGCTGAAATTGGCCTGTCAGGTAGTGATGTCCTTAAATTGGGTGGAGCATCAAGGGAGAACCCTGGTATATCTGAAGGCTTCCATGGTCTGGGTTTTACAGTTGGAGAACTAGCACGTGAGGCTGCAGGGTTTCGTGATGCCATTGTAGCTGACCGGGTACCCGAAGGGAAAGACACAGGTTTAACTGGAGGAACAGTTGTATTTGTTGTACCTGACACTGAAGTTGCTCGACGAGTTGGAGTTGCTGCCCTTGATGTGGACTTTGATCCAGTAACAGAGGCCCTGCTTGTTGGTGTTGAGGACCGTGCACTGGACCTTGCAGTAGGTGTTGAAGATCTTGGAGGAACAGTGGGTTTTGAAGCAGGCATGGTGGCCCGAGAAGTAGGTGTGGCAGACCTTGATGATCTACATGCTGTCGCGGTTGACATTGATCTAGAGGTTGCAGTGGATGTCATTGCTTTGGTTGCTGTAGCAGATGTGGATCTAGATGCCGAGGTCGAAGTGGATCTAGATGAGCTCAATGTCGGTCTACCAGTAGGAGTTGAAGGTCTTGATCCACCTGAAGAAGATGGTCTTCGAAGACTAGAACTTGAAGTGTTTAATCCAGGAGAGGAAGCTGGCTGTCTAGATGCTAAGTTGCTTCTTGAGGTGGCCTCTGGGAGAGAATTTGTTAACTGCATCAAAGGTAGCAAATTACAGATAAAAACCCATGGTTCCCAAGAAAATAACTCAAAACTCTGATGCACACTTCAGGTTAAGACTGCCAGGCAAGCTTCACTATTTGCACTTCACATATTTATCTACTCACAGTAATAGGCAAAGTTCTGCATTGTCTTAAAGTAAATTGGTGTCTAGACATATTTAACTATGCTTTCTCTAATCTTTCTTTAGTGTACTTACAAACAACAGCATACCCGATATAGACCCACGAGTGGGATTTGGGAAGGGTGGGGTGTACACAGACCTTACCCTTATTTCTGACGGGTAGAGAGGTTCGAAAGACCTCCGGCTCAAGAAAATAGATTTTCAGAACATGGTTTGAAAGAAATGCAAGAGTAAAACGCTATTATGAGAACATTGAAAAAAGACAAATATTGACAGTAAAAATATTAGAGATATCCTAAGTAAAAGAAATAACAATAGAAATAAAATAGAAGAACAAAGTAATGCTAGCAAAATAATACACCCTTTGTCCCAATTTATGTGACACTATACTTTTCAGTGTGTCCTCAAAAGAATGTCACTTTTCTATAATAAGAAATAACAACTTTAAAATTTCCCTTTTACCCCTAATGAATTAATTTACCGCCACACAGATATCTAAGATTTGTTTTAAACCACAAGTTTCAAAAGTCGTTCTTTTTTTCTTTGTTTTATGGCACCTGGGCCTATCTCAACCCCAAAAGCTAGCTCAAGAAGGGAGGACTGCCCAAGTCCATATAAGGAGACCACCAGTCCATTGTCCAACCAATGTGGAACTTTTACCCACTCTAACATTCTAAAACTTTCTGTCAAATTGAGACAGTGAGATAATACTGGTAAGGAAACAAACAGATACTCTAGATTAGAATCCTGCTCTACCACGAGGAAAAGAGAAAATGTTCAACTACCTACTAATCGTCTACCCTGATACTCGACCTCTATGCTCTCCTATTTAAAGTCATGTCCGTATTGAGTTGAAGATGTTTCATATCTTGTCTAATCACATCTCCCCAATTCTTCCTTGATCTACCTCTACCTTTCCTCAAACCTATCATTGCCAGCCCTCTCACACCTCTTCACTAGGGCATTTGTGTTCCTCCTCTTCGAATGCTTGAACCATCTTGGCCTTGTTTCTCGCATCTTGTCCACCATTGAGGCTACTCCCACCTGGCATCATATATCTTCGTTTCTAATCTTGTCTCTTCTAATGTGCCCACACAGCCATTTAAGCATCCTCATTTATGTTACCTTCATCTTTTGAGGCTACTCCCACCTGGCCTCATATATCTTCATTTCTAATCTTGTCTTTTCTAATGTGCTCACACATCCATCTAAGCATCCTCATTTATGTTACCTTCATCTTCTGAGGGTGCAAGTTCTTGATTGACCAACACTTCAACCCATACAGCATAGTTGGTTTAACAACCGCTCGATGGAACTTACCTTTCTTAATCTTTCTTTTACTTAGGTCAATGTAAATTATGGGTTTCAAATAAAAGCAAGTTACATGTAAAAGCAAGTTACAAGTTGGTGTTTTTGGTCATATGAACTTCTAAATTGTGACATGTTGTTAATCTTACAAAACTTTGTCTATTGGTGTTTTTCCTCATTGTTTCCGTCTATTATTGTCCAAGAACAACCAAGTTATAAATGACTGCATAAAACCAAGAAAAACACCTAATATGCATAATTGTAGAAGATTCTCTTCAAGATTAAACAATTCCATCAAATTGGATAATGATTAAATGTGTGATACATTTAGTAATACTTGGAATATCAATAAATCTGATTATTATAATTACTCAGGAGAATCTTTAAGAAAAAACCAACTCACACTGATCACAGACACCCCATCATAAGAGCATGTGCTTGTTAATGCATCCTTACTAGGATAAAGAAACCATAGCCCTAAAATATTCGTAGGAGTTTAAGTTTTCCAAATGGTTGATATCTAAGAGATTGGGTACTCGTAATATCCCACAAGAAGCATCACAAAAGAAATGTATGGCATACTTTTTCTTTCTGATGACCGTATGCATCTACAGTCAACCATTAGGACCAACTGCAGCATTCGAAGTTCGGGATAATGGGCCCACACCTCTACTACTCTCCAATTAAATGTGAGGCTTAGTTCACATGATGTAGAGTTCGAACCTAGACCTAGGTCACAAGTTCCTCGGCCTTTGTCACCTGAACTAAGCCTGGGGGCAGATGTACATCATACAGCTACATTCAAAAACTAAAATAACCCTCAAATTCAGCAGAGGGCTTCTGCGAATAGCATTTGACTATACAATGGAGCCACCATGTGCACGCATTCTGAACTAAAGAACCTGTCAGGGTCTTCCTGTTTAATTATAGAAATTTCCTTTTAGGTTCCGTGAAATCTCCACATCCCTCTAGTGGCTGGATATTGGTCCAAAGGGCGGGTCACAAGAATTTCTCGGTTATCAAAGAAAAAAAATTACTTTCAGATTACAGAGATGGTCAACATTTCCCGTGTTAAACATAACAAAAGTGAAAATATGCTAATTTCCAATTACACATAATGCATTTCAGCAAAGAAATAATGTAACAGTAGAATATACATATTCTTACTCTAGATGTCAATGCAGTGGGGTGAGCTCTAGAAGTTCCCAGCTGACTCATCATAGTTTTGCGTGATTCCATCTCTAGAGAAGGAAAAAGAGGAGTGCCTGGAGGTGTTAGAAGCCTGAAACAGGAAAATAACATCTCATAATAAAGCATACAGAAGTGCAGATAGGATTTTAAAACAATGTCTGGGAAATCTGATTCATGAATCAACAAAATAATTCAACATCAGAGGTGCAGAGAAGCTCTTTTTTGTTCTTCTTTTCAACTTTATAGAAAGGGGGTGCACCACCCTACTCCCTTTATTTATTTGAGTGCTAGATTTTGATATATGGCAGCCATTAATTTTTGTACTTGAATTGTGCAGTAAACAAATACATCTACAAACTATACGTGTTTTTCTCACTGTTTATGATATTTGAATAAAAACTTGCTTTCAACATCCTAATATTTTATCACTTCAAATTTGCATCCTCAACACTCTTAGCTATCCTCCCTTGTAACATCAAGAAATTAAATTCAGCTAGCATGTGTTAAGATAACTACCTGGAGAAGTATGACATCAAAGTTTAAGATGCACATATAAATTGTATTTGGAGGCTTGAGTGTCACATGTCAAACACCTAGACTTCAACATTTAAAGAGTTCAGTAGACTTGGACACCTGTATCGGTCTACTAGACACAAGTAAGGCACTATCTCATAATTTTCTGCCTCTCCTCAGGGTGCATAACAACAATTTTAAAAGGATTTTATTAAGTCTCTTATGATAAATGAAACGTATGACCTACCAAATCTTCAAGCTCCTATATTCGACCAAGTCCTCAATTGAGAGAAGGAGGAGCTTCCAGCTAGATTTTTAGCATGGTGTTTTATGTTTCTTGGCACTATGAATTAAGTTAGATGTTCAATGTTTATAATCTTTAACAAAGTTGAATGACCTGAATCTATCGTTTGTTACATTGGAACCAACATAATCAATGAAATGCCATATATGATGAGGAGTTCTAAATGTTTCATTAGTTAGTATATAAATCCTATATAACAAAATTAGATTACATATTTCTTATCATGCTTGTTTGTGTCCTGTAGCTTTTAAATTTCTGTTTTCTGTCACTGGGATGCCCAAAAGTCTGTTTATCTCAGAAAACTTGTGTAGGTAAGATAATTCGAGCAAACATGTGAGTCAATATTTGAGTTGATTTCCCAGATGGTCACTCAACACTCAACTAATAGTTACTATCTCCACCTTTCTGTGTGAAAGCACAGAGAAAAATGACATTGCCAAAAAATTAACAAGGTAAATTTCCCATTATGCTATCAAAAGAAACATCCCTTTTGAAGCCATGTCCATGTAAAATAAATCCTGGACTCCTCATCCACCCAAGTGGTGTATTCTCTCCTTATGGAGTCAAAGAAAAGAGATATATCCTTAAGCAAGGCAAAAGATCAATGTCCTTCAGAATTCTAAAAAGATCAACACTCACTTTCTTTGTTGAAGAAAACTGGAATAAAGAAGAAATGGTAACCATCTGAGAAATCAACTCATCAATATTTTCCTAAAGAATTTGTAAACTACATGGTGAAAAAGATTAAATTGGATAAAGAAACTTATGACGTCCAAAATCAACCTAAGCAGCTAAAAGAAACAATTAAACAACTCAGAGAATCACATACTTGGAAAGGAGAAGAAGAAACAAATTACCAGTCGTAATCCGTTTTATCATTGTCAGCATTAAGGAACTCATCAGTACGAGTCCTCCGCATGGGTGCAGCTGATGCAATATCAAATGCAGGTGAACTACCACTTTTTGATCCTGCAATAAGATATAATTGAAAAAAAATACATATATAAACTTTAGGTTATGAAGCAGAAATCACAAATTTCTCACTAGTTGGACACATTTATATGCCTATATATGATGTCCAAAAAGACTCAAAATATTTTTGAAACTTGAAGTAGAAATGCACCTTCAAAAAACCAACTTCAACTTGAAAATTTTTCTTTATGCTCTCAATTTGAACAAAGAAAGGTCAATAGATGGAAGGAAAAAAAAAAACTTACCAAGGGGATCAAATTCGTCGGATTTTTGAAGAAATCGATTATTATTTCTGTCATTTTCCCTTCTTCGCATTTCTAGAAACAATGATAGTTCCTCATCTGAACTCCTAATACTACCCATTAGAGGCTGTCTCTGCCTCTGCCCCGGCCCAGTCAATGACTCCTCTGCTCTAAAACTTCTATTCATTGCAAAAAAACAACCGTTTAAACTCCTTAATCCATCAACAAATCAGCTCCAAAAACCCTAGCTCTTCACACTCAAAATACCAAACCAACAGATTGAATGAGCTGAAAGTGAAGCAAAATTTAACATTTGCAGAATAATGAAACAGCCAGTGGATACATAAATTAGTAGAAGAAATGGAATTAAGGTGTATGAGAGGGAAGATTTTGAAGAAGGAAGAGAGAGAGAGTGTGTGTGTGTCGTGGGGAGCAGTGTTTATTTGAAACTTGAATTTTTGAGAGACGTTTTGGGTTTACAAGACTGAAGACTTGCTTTTTTCGGTTTTATTTTTCTTCACATATTTATTATTCAAAGGCCAACTTAAGACGATTAGTTGAGATGTGATGTTTCATTCCCTAAGCTTACATTTTTACTTTCTTTTTTATTATTTAGGAATATTCCAATGTGTAAAGAGAGATTTATAAAAACACATCATAAACTTGACGTAAATTATTATTAATTTCATTTTTGAACTATTAATAGCTTTAAAAATACTTTCTACTTGATTAACTAAACTTAGATATACCCCAATACACTCCCGATATTAATTAAAAAAAAATAACTTTTTAATCTTTTGATCATTTTCCAAAATCATAACAATAAAATAAATACAACATCACCCTCACTTCTTTTTTAATTTTGGTTTGTTCTATTTATACACCAATACAAGAAAGTATATATCTATTTTGAGGTTAAAATTAAAAAGTTGTAGCCTTCAATTGTCCTTTTTTTTTACCTTCTTAGAATAAAGCTACCAAGGAATCTTATGTTCTTTCGTATAAGGAGAAAGAGAAGGGAAAAGATAAAATATTTCCAACCTAACTCCACGAAAATTTTTATTTTGTACGAGGCATAGATATTACATGGCAGACAATAGTTGTATGAGGATCCTCTCATTTTTTTGCCAAGTGGGGTTTGGGTCCCACTCACAGAAAATGTTCTAAAATCATCCTCTCATTTTTTGCCAAGTGGGGTTTGGGTCCCACTCACAGAAATTGTTCTAAAATCTCTCTCTTTCTCCTATTTCGTACTATCTTTTTTTTCCTTCTTGAATTTAAAAAATAAATAAATTTATTCATCAAAAGTTGAAATACTACTTTTAGTAGGATTGCTCGTGATTTAGTTTGGATCATTTTTTTATTAAACGGAAATTAAATTAATTAATTTGATTTTTCAAATGTTGAAATCAAGTCAATTTTTCAACCTTTTTTTTTCCTATTTGTTTTTTTTGGAATTCTAGAAATATATAATAACATAAAATTTTGGTCAAGTTATATATAGGATCCTTCAAAAAAAAACTTATGCATTATCTAAGAACTTAATCATTTCTAAGAAACATGATAAATTATTTCTAAGGATTTTACTAAAATTTTTTTACAAAAAGTTAAAGATTTAGAGACAATAATCGATACCAGAATGTCTTGTAAATATTTGATTTAAACAAAAATAATCAATTAAATAAATACGAGTTATTTTGAACATAAAAATGTACTCTTGACATTATCAAAATAAAAATATAAATTAAACAACGAAGTAAATGCAAAGAATTTGATTATCATTAAGAGAAACACATGAATCGACAAAGAGAACAAAAAACAATATTTATAATAATTTTTTTAATTTTAAAGAAGGCTATATATATAGAGAGAGAATTTATTGGTAAAGTAATAAAAAGAAAAAATATCTTTTTATAAATGAACACAAAAATGAATTATTGTCTAAAAACACGTACATCTACGTAGGATGAAAAAAGAAAGTAAGAAGAAAAAGTTTGAAATTAATGAGAAAAAAGTAAGAAGACGAAAGAAAATGAAATATATAAGCATGGGTCCCACATAAGTACATTTGGCAGACAAAAAATCCTCATACAACTGACAATGGGAGAAAGGGAGAGAGATTTTAGAACATTTTCTGTGAGTGGGACCCAAACCCCACTTGGCAAAAAATGAGAGGATCCTCATACAACTATTGTCTGCCATGTAATATCTATGCCTCGTACAAAATAAAATTTTTCGAGAAAGAGAGAGATTTTAGAACAATTTCTGTGAGTGGGACCCAAACCCCACTTGGCAAAAAATGAGAGGATCCTCATACAACTATTGTCTGCCATGTAATATCTATGCCTCGTACAAAATAAAATTTTTCGAGAAAGAGAGAGATTTTAGAACAATTTCTGTGAGTGGGACCCAAACCCCACTTGGCAAAAAATGAGAGGATCCTCATACAACTATTGTCTGCCATGTAATATCTATGCCTCGTACAAAATAAAATTTTTCGAGAAAGAGAGAGATTTTAGAACAATTTCTGTGAGTGGGACCCAAACCCCACTTGGCAAAAAATGAGAGGATCCTCATACAACTATTGTCTGCCATGTAATATCTATGCCTCGTACAAAATAAAATTTTTCGAGAAAGAGAGAGATTTTAGAACAATTTCTGTGAGTGGGACCCAAACCCCACTTGGCAAAAAATGAGAGGATCCTCATACAACTATTGTCTGCCATGTAATATCTATGCCTCGTACAAAATAAAATTTTTCGAGAAAGAGAGAGATTTTAGAACAATTTCTGTGAGTGGGACCCAAACCCCACTTGGCAAAAAATGAGAGGATCCTCATACAACTATTGTCTGCCATGTAATATCTATGCCTCGTACAAAATAAAAATTTTCAATCCCCACTATTACCTTAACTTTATTTTGTTATATATTTCACCAAGTCAACTGCCTAATTGCCTTCAAAACCTGGATGAGTGTACTTCTCATTATTCATCATAATGATCCAAAACTAATTTTTGATACACATGGATAATCAATAACTTAGTGGGAATCCTAGTTAGTAACGCTTAGGTGAAGGACTTAGTTCACGCAACTTTTCAAAGGTGTGAATAGAAAATGAAGAGTTGCGACTTTTATGAAGAGTTGTGACTTTAATGAAAAGTTGCGACTTTTATGAAGCGTTGTGACTTTTATGAAAGGTTGTGACCTTTTCGAAGGGTTGTAACTTTTCAAAGGGTTGTGACCTTTCCAATAAGGCACAATAAGCATTTGTTCACACAATCTTTTGTTGTCTATAAATAAATGGATTTCCTCTCATTTTAAAACAATCAATTTTGTGGACTTCTTCTTCTACTACTAAATCTAGTATTCTACATATACTTTACTGCCGTTGAGTGGTTCGCTGACATCATAGTTATAGGTATCGATACACCGGTGAGTAAGATCGTTTTATCCTGGAAGAATATATTCCATTAATCTCGGGTACTTGAGGAGAATAATTTCCTTAAGGGGACACTGTGCATTCAGTGGGTTCGATTTTCTTCTCTGAGAAAAATATTTTGTATATTGTTTCTAATATGTTTCTGATTCTATTTTCTCTACTAGTTTTAATTTTTTAGTTTTTAAAAATACTCTTTAAACTTTGTTGTTCTTACCAAGTACCTAGTAGGTTTTAAGGCTTAATTATTGTGATACTTCAAAGTTTTTGTTCTAAGTATCTTAGGAATGTATAATGAACAACAATCTTAAGGAAATTATTATACTGTTGGTATTTCTTGTATTCTACTAATTGAGGGAAACAAATCATGGAAGTAGAAGATTAATGCACTTCTCTCTAGAATTTGGTACCCTGTTTAGCAAGGTCGAAGTGAGAATGTACCAGAAGAATTGGTGGTATTTCAGTTAAAGATTACACCAGGTAACTTTCTTATTATTTATCTAAGGAGGAAAATAGTTTCTAAAAGTTAACTCGTTTGATATTTATCATGTGTCTTTGAAAAAAGATTTGCAAACCATATGTTTTTTTGAATGAATTTTCCTTGGCAAATAGTGTTCCCTTTAAAATTCTTTAGTTTGCAGAATGAGATATACATATTTTTGTTTGATAAGATATTATGTCAAAATATTTTAGTTGGAAGGCTATTTAAAAAGAAATGCACATCTACGTGATAATCTAAGAATATGTTTTATTCTGTTTGGAGACTAAAAAGCTTTTGTAGTATTGTATTCCGTGTGAAATTTGATTGTGTCTGATTGTTGTAAACTAATTTTTTTTTGTATTTTTCTATTCTGGATAAATTAGAATGTGCAATTGGTTTGAAGAATATGATAACTTCACCTAATAAGTCAGTGTTGTACTTTTGATTTTCTACTCCGTTTGAATTTGAAACTGATTTGAAGTCATAAAAACTTCATCTACATTCAAAGTTCATTCGGTTGACAATTTGAAGATTATAAAACTTCATTTTTAAATAAAAATAAATTATACAAAGTTTGTGTCTTCATTGTTAGTATTCTAAATACTAAGTGGTATATCAAATTGTGATAGCAAAAAAACAAAAAGGACTAGTGACTTAAAGTCTGTGATTTTGTGCCTACAATAGGTGCCTGTATGAAATGAACTTTGACATTGTTTAAAGATTGTCAAAAGGAAATTGAAGCACTATAATTCTTTTGTAGAATAATATTTCCAAGAGAGGTTTCATGATGTCAATGACAATTTGATAGAATGGAAAAAAATATGTAGAAATTTTTTCAAATACTTGAAAAATATTTTTGAGATCATATTTAAAATGTGAGGGGTTCTTTGCTTATGATAAAGATAAAATTAGACTTAGTGTCTAATTTAAATATGGAGCACAAGATATGAAATGACATTTTTATATTATGTTAGACCCACAAAATTCTTGGAGTATATTTGATATTGTGGTTATTGAGTTTTTCTTTTACTAGTATATGTTATGATCACTAGTATGAAACTACCAAATTATATATATATACACACACACATACTTGTTCAAATTATTGTGTTCTTTTATGAAAGAGTATCACTTAAAATGTTGTGATTTCTCATGAAAAAATATGTCAATTAAAATACAACTATTTTTATAGACATGAATATTGGTGAATAGTCATCTGCCATGTTTGTGTTGTAAAAAAAGCATTTGGGTCATATTGCCTTTATTCGATGAGACTATGTTCATGAGTAATACTATAACAATCAAATTGAAAGTTATGGAAAGGTCCTTCTGAAAAAGACGTTTGACAAGGTGGTGACTCTAAACAATGTTTGTATCAGATAAAATTGTAATAAGTAGGAACAAAATATTTGTGAGAAAAAACTACCTCACGGAGGGTTTTCAAACTCAATATTTTATTTGTTCTTACTTGCTTGAGTCAAACTGTTTGTGACATGAATGCTTGGGACATGTCAATTACAAATCCTTGTAAGCAAAACTGATCAACTTAGAAGTTTTGTCTAACTTTGAGTGC